TTTTTATTTTTTCGTGTGTGTTAGCCATGGATATTGGCGTCTTAGGGCGCCTAGAAGGTTTTTTTGGATAAACTTTATAAGGACTTTCGTAATGAGTTGGGAGGCATTACGTATAGTGTGACCACCTTTTTAAAGCATTTTTTTGCATTTAGGGGTCAACTCCTAGAATTACACGACTTTTTTGGTTTTTAGTATGTGTTTACCCATGGATATTGACACCATATGGCGCTCGGAAAGGACTTTTTGAAAAAACTTTATGAGGACCTCCGTAATGAGTTGGGGGGAGCATTACGTATAGTCTCACCATTTTTAGGTATATTTTTGCATTTAGGGAACATCTTTTAGAAATTACGTGAATTTTTTTGTTTTTTCAGTGTGTTAGCCCATGGATATTGGCGTCTTATGGCGCTCGGGAGGATTTTCTGAAAAAACATTATGAGGACCTCCGTAATGAATTGGGGGAGCATTATGTATAGTCCCACTATTTTTAAGGCATGCTTTTGCATTTAGGGGCCAACTTTTAGGAATTACGCGACTTTCATGGTTTTTCGTGTGTGTTAGCTAATGGATATTGACGCCTTATGGCCCTCAAAAAAAAAATTGAAAATATTTTATGAGGATCTCTGTAATGAGTCATGGGAGCATTACATACAATTTCACCATTTTAAGGCATATATTTGCATTTAGGGTCAACTTTTAGAAATTATGCGACTTTCTTGATTTTTCACGTGTGTTAGGCCATGGATATTGGCGCCCGAAAGGTTTTTCAAAAAAACTTTATAAGGACCTCTATAATGAGTTATGAGAGTATTACATATGGTCTCACAATTTTTTAAGGCATGTTTTAGAAATTACACGTCTTTCTGGGTTTTTCGTGTGTGTTAGCCCTTTGATATTGGCGTCCGGAAGGTTTTTCTGAATAAACTTTATGAGTACAACCGTAATGAGTTAGGTGAGCATTACATATAGTCTGACCATTTTTAAGGCATATTTTTGCATTTAGGGGCCAACTTTTAAAAATTATGCGATTTTTTTATTTTTTCATGTGTGTTAGTCCATGGATATTGGCGCCTATAAGGTTTTTCTGAAAAAACTTTATGAGGACATTTGTAATGAGTTGGGAAAACATTACGTATAGTCTCACCATTTTTAAGGCGTGTTTTTGAATTTAGGGACCAATTTTTAGGAATTACGCGTCTTTTTTTATTCTTCGTTTGTGTTAGCCCATAGAAATAGGCGCCTTATGGCTCCCGGAAGGTTTTTCTAAAAAAACTTTATGTAGACCTTCGTAATGAGTTGATGGAAGTATTACGTATTAGTTTCACCATTTTTAAGGCATGTTTTTGCATTTAGGGGCCAACTTTTAGGAATTACGCGACTTTCTTGATTTTTCGTGTGTTAGCCCATGGATATTAGTGTCGTATGGAGCCCATATGATTTTTCTGAAAAAACTTTATAAGGACATCTGTAATGAGTTGGGGGAACATTATATATAGTGTCACCATTTTTAAGGCATATATTTGCATTTTGGGGCCAACTTATAGAAATTACGTGACTTTCATGATTTGTCATGTGTGTTAGCTCATGGATATTGACAACTTATGGCGTCCCAAAGTTTTTTCTGAATTTTTTTTAAGAGGGTCTCTGTAATGAGTTGGGGGAACATTACATATAGTCATGCCATTTTAAGGCATATTTTTGCATTAAGGGTCAACTTTAAGAAATTACGCGACTTTCTTGGTTTCTCGTGTGTGTTAGCCCATAGATATTGACAACTTATAGTGCATAAGGTTTTTCTGAAAAAACATTATGAGAACCTCCATATTGAGTTGGGGAACTTTATGTATAGTCTCACAATATTTTTAAGACATGTTTTTGCATTTAGTGGCCAACTTTTAGGAAATACACGACTTTCTTGATTTTTCGTGTGTGTTAGCCCATGGATATTGGCACCTTATGACGCCTGTAAGATTTTTTGAAAAAAGACTTTATGAGGACCTTCGTAATGAGTTGGAGAGCATTACGTATAGTCTCACAATTTTTTAAAGCATATTTTTGCATTTCGAGGCCAACTTTTAAGGATTATGCAACTTTCGTAGTTTTTCGTATGTGTTAGCTGATGGATATTGGCGCCTTATGGCGCTCAAAAGGTTTTTCTGAAAAAACTTTATGAGGACCTCTGTAATGAGTTGGAGGAGTATTACATATAGTCTCGCCATTTTTAAGGCATATATTTGTCTTTAGGGGCCAACTTTTAGGAATTACGCGATTTTCTTGATTTTTTACGTGTGTTAGCCCATGATTATTGACGCATTATGACGCTCGATAGGTTTTTCTGAATTTTTTTTATGAGGACCTCCGTAATGAGTTGTGGGAGTATTACATATAGTCTCACCATTTTTTTAAGTCATGTTTTTGCATTTTGGCGCAACTTTTTAGTAATTATGCGTCTTTCTCTTGTTTTCGTGTGTGTTAGCCCATTGATATTGGCGCCTTATGTCGCCTGAAAGGTTTTTCTCAAAAAACTTTATGAGGACTTCCATAATAAGCTTGGGGGGGGGGGGGGGCATTACATGTAGTCGCACTATTTTAAGGCAATTTTTGCATTTAGGGGACAACTTAAAAAAATGACGTGATTTTCTTGGTTTTTCGTGTGTATTAGCACATGGATATTGGTGTCTTAAAGCGCCCGAAAGGTTTTCTTGAAAAAACTTTATGAGGACCTCCGTAATAAGTTGGGGGAGAAGTATTACGTATAGTCTCACCATTTTAAGGCAAATTTTTACATTTAGGGGCCAACTTTTAAGAATTACGCGACTTTCTTGATTTTCGTGTTGTTAGCCCATGGTTATTGGCGCCTTATGGTGCTCGAAAGGTTTTTCTACAAAAAACTTTATGAGAACCTCCATAATAAGTTGTGGGAGCATTATATATAGTCTCGCCATTTCTAAGACATATTTTTGGACTTAAGGTATAACTTTTAGGAATTACGCGACTTTTTTGGTTTTTCATATGTATTAACCTATGGATATTGACCTTATGGCGCCTGAGAGGTTTTTCTGAAAAACTTTATGAGGACCTCCGTAATGAGTTGGGGGAACATTACGTATAGTCTCACCATTTTTAAGGCATGTTTTTGCATTTAGGGGCCAACTTTTAGGAATTACGCAATTTTTTTAGTTTTTCGTGTGTGTTAGCCCATATATATTGGCGCCTTATGGAACACGAAAGGTTTTTCTTAAAGAATTTTATAAGGACCTTTGTAATGAGTTGGAGAGTATTACATATAATCTCACTATTTTTAAAGCATATTTTTACATTTATGAGCAAACTTTTAGGAATTATGCAACTTATTTTATTTTTCGTATGTGTTAGCAAATGGATATTGGCGCCTTATACATCTATAAGGTTTTTTAAACAAATTTTATGAGGACTCCCATAGTGAGTTGGGGGAGCATTATGTACAGTTTCACCATTTTAAAGGCATAATTTTGCATTTAGGGGCCAACTTTTAGGAATAATGTAATTTTTTTTTCGTGTGTGTTAGATCATGGATTTGGTGCCTTTGAAATTTCGATACCATAATTTTGATATTCGATTTTTAAAAATATTATACCATTACCATACCGATTTAATTCGGTATTGTTCAGTATTTTGAAGTTTGATTTTGATATTTTGTGGTATGGTAAATCAGTTAGCATAGTTTTTTCAACATCGACTAAAATATACTTGTAAATTAAAATGTATACCATATATCATACTAAATATCATAATATTAAAAATTACGATATCAAAAGTTTCGATATGGTATGATAATTCGATATATACCATATCATGCCTTTCCCTACTTCACACTCTCATATCAAGTGTTCCGTTCTTAATGAGCTAAATATGTATGATATGCTATCTAACCAATTCTCTCTAAATCTTTTTTGATCAAATATTACACATTACGAATCTAAATTACTCAAATCCATGACTCATAAACATCTATCCAAACTGTTCACACTCTCTCGTCTAGTATCATATCTTTAATGAGCTAGACATATATAATATATACTACTCCCTCCGTCCCATTTTATGTGACACCATTTCCTTTTTGATCAGTCCCAAAAAGAATGTCACATTTCCTTATATGATAAGTATTTAAAGGTACAATTCCTCTTTTATCTTTGTTGGTCCCACTTAATCTTAAAATAATACTCCAATACATTTATGAGGAGAGAGAAAAGTGAATCTACTTTTTAAAAGATAATTTGGTAAACATTTCAAAGTCTTCATTTATTTCTTAAATTCCGTGCCCGGTCAAATGTTGTCACATAAAATGGGACGGAGGGAGTATATATTTGGGAGTGCTTTACCTATCAATGTGCAACTTTCCGATGTGAATTCATATTTAAACGGGTTGTAATGTAAGTGTCAAACACCGAATGAGAAATTAAAATTAAAAATAAAATATATATAAACCATCCAATCAACTCTCTCATATTCTTTACGATCAAATATTAAGCATCATGAATCTAAATTAATCGAAACCGATGGATCTTTGGACACATCAAAGTAAACAATGGATCTAGTAGAAACTGGCCATAAAAATACCCTGGAGACCAGTCAAACACCATTTTTATTTATTAAAAAAATAAAATAAAATTTAAAAAACTCCACAAAACGACAAAAAGAAAGGTGATAACTATTCCATACATCGCATGTGTACTTACACCTCTTTCTTTTCACCAATCATCGAAAAGTAAGTGTCAGTCAGTCCTACGTGGAAGCATATTATTGGTTAATAAATTAGATGCTCCGAGAATAACGAATCCCGCTAAGAATTTTATTTTAATATTATTTTAATATTTATATTTTTCTCCGAAGAAGACGTAAGGATTTCGAGAATTTTTCTGGGTCTGGGTATTTTTTAATTTTTATTTTTGTTTTGAATTTTTTGGGTTCTTGGGAAATTCATAAGAGTTTTTTTTGTATATATATATATATAGATATATAGTAAGAAACACGGGTTATATGTGATAAAGGGGCAAAAAAAAGTTTGATAAATCTAGGGTTTGAGTGATTTGGGGTTTTTGATTTGTTGGAAGCTATGAGGAAGAGGCTTGATACCAGATTTCCCGCTGTAAGTTTCACTTTCGCCTTTCTATTCAGTTTTTTTATTTGGGTTTTTTATGTTTTGGGTGTTCTTGATTTTCTATGTTCTATATGGGTTTTTTTCTCCCTTGTTTGGTTGTTGAATTGAAAAAAGTAACTGGGGTTTTCTTGGTTTTGGTTTATTAAACAGTTTTGAGCTTTTTGTGGGATAAAGCTTTGAGCTTTGATGTTTTGGTGGTAGTTATAAGGCTATTGAATGAGTAGAACTGACAAATTTGTAAGGTTAAGGGTATGAATGGGTTTTTCTTTTCCCTGGGTAGTCTTGGTTTTGGTTAAAAATATAGGTTTTTGGGTGTTCTTGTAAATTTGAAAGTTTGGAGCTTTTAGTTCTGTTTTTGTGGGAATAAAGATTTGAGCTTTGATGTTTTGGTGATAGTTATAAGGCTATTGAATGGATGGAACTGTCAAATTTGTAAGGTTCCAAGGTATGGATAGGTTTGGATGTCTATGGTTTAATTGTTGCTTGTAAATTTGAAAGTTTGGATCGTTTATTTCCTTTGGGAGTAAAGCTTTGAGTTTTGATGATAGTTATTAGGCTGTTGAATGAATAGAACTGTTTAATATATAAGGTTCAAGGTATGGCTGGGTTTGGATGTCTACTATTTATTTGTTGCTGGTAAATTTGAAACTTTGGATTTTTTTAGACTATCAAGTTCCTTTTTGAGGGGAATGAAGCTGAGCTTTGATGTCTTGGTGATAGTTATAAGGCAAATGAATGAATACAACTGTCTAATTTGTAAGGTTCAAGGTATAGCTGAGTTTGTGTGTTGACTATTCACTGTAGGGTGAAAGGGTGGAGCTTGAATATGATTTCTTGTTTGGCTCCGGGGAGTTGCCTTGTTCTTATATTAGTTTTTTTTTTCTTTGAGAATTAATCTGTGAGCTTTGATGTTTGGGTGGTAGTTGTAAGGCTATTGAATGAATAGAATGGTCAAACTTTTCTAAGGTTCAAGGTATGGCTTGGTTTGGATGTGGCACTTATTTTATTATTGGTTGAAAAGGTGGAGCTTGAGTATGACTTTTTTTTTGGATTCTAGTAGTTGCCTTGTTTTCATGTTAGTGTGTATTTGCTTCGTTTAGTTGGATATTAAAATAGGTTGAGTACTAGATGAGGTGCCTCACTAAAGAAAGTAAGTGTGTTTGGATATCTACCATTTTATTGTTGATTGAAAAGGTTGAGCTCAAGTATGACTTCTTGGTTGGCTCGTGGGAGTTGCCTTGTTTTCATGTTACTGTGTGTATTTGCTTAGTTTGGTTTGGATATTAAACAGGTTAAGGTTGAGTACTAGATGAGGTGCCTCACAAATGAAAGCAGAAAGAAGAAAAGAGAACACATGTTCTCTTGTTTCTTGGAGTTGAGGTACAAGAAGTATGGATTTTTTTCTCTTGAATCCGGCAATTAGGTCTTAATAGTAGACGAAGAAATCTGATCTTGCCTAAGCTGTCAGTGCTCCGTGGTATGTTTTGAACATATAGTAAGTTGTTTGTGATAGTTACTGGACCATATTTTTGTCCGTATTTTTTTAACCTTCTCCTTATTTGCTGAGAGCAAAAACAGTTCTTTGAAGTTGCAAAAAGTAGTACTGTATTTTTTTTGGGAGAGGTAAGTAACAACAATAACAACAACAAACACAGGTAGAGTCTATGCAAACCTTACCGCTACCTTTGAGAAGGTAGAGAGGCAATTTGGGTAAACATATGTACAAATTGTAAAAGTAGTTCTATAACTGAAATCCACCTAGACAGAGCAAGTACAAATTGTAAAAGTAGTTCTATGACTGAAATTCACCTAGGCAGTGCATTTAAATAGCTTTGTTCCATGGACAAGTCTGATGTTTTGATTTAATTTTTAAAGCAAGTTTCTAATTCAGGGTGCCTGTAAAGAGTTGAACTTACCTGGTTGGAGAGGGTATTTGTTAGGTTGGTATGCATGAATTTAGAACTGGTAGTTGGGACAACAATATACCCAGTGTAATCCCGCAAGTGTAGTCCGGGAGGGTGATGTTTATGCAACCTTACTTCTACCTTGTAAAGCATATCAAAATCAGAATGAAAAGGACATATAGTAGTGAAGAAGCCATGCCAAAAATAATGAGACAAAAACAATAGCAATAAGCCATATCAAATAATACAAACCGAAGCATTGGAAACAACAAGTAATAGTAAGATTGAAAAACAAGAATGTAGGAGAGTAATGTTAATAATAGTGATATGGGAAACTAGACAATGATTGACCTCTTCCTAATACTATAATACAAACTAATTGTGGGAATGGGCATGCATGCACCAAATGTGTATTTGACGTTTTATATGTGGATTGCCTGTAATTTAGTGCGGTCTGCTAGTCTGTATCTTTCATGGTTCAACAGTATGTTGTACTGATGTTTGGTTTCAAGGTAAGAATTATGGTGATTGGAATTTGAAACCTAGCTATTGCTATTGCTTTTAAAAGTTTTGTATGTTAACATCTGGTTGTACATGAAATTACTTAATCTAATTGACTATTGTTATATGAAGTTATTGTCTCCGTTGATAAAGTTGCTGAATCGAAGATTTTAACTGTTCTAATACCTCATTGTCATTTATTTGCAGGCTCGGATTAAAAAGATTATGCAAGCTGATGAGGATGTGGGGAAGATTGCGATGGCTGTTCCTCTTTTAGTCTGTAAGTCCTTTATTTCAATGAATTTCTTTTTGCATTTGGTTCAACTGATTTAAGATCTGTTTACCTGTATTCATTCCTTTGCTTCTTGGTATCTATTTTTGTGTGGTTCATTTTGTTTATCCTAACTCGTGTTTGTCAACGTTATATTCAGCAAAAGCCCTTGAACTCTTTCTGCAAGATCTTTGTGACCGTACATATGAGATCACCCTCAAGAAAGGAGCAAAAACAATGAATTCTTTCCATTTGTAAGTTTAATTTACTGTTATGATAGTACACATTGTATTAGGTCTATGGTTATCAGCTAACTTGGTCCCTCTACTTCACAGGAAACATTGTATCCAGAGCTTTAATGTGTTTGATTTCCTGAAGGATGTAGTGAGCCGGGTTCCTGATCTAGGTGGGTCAGATGCTAGTGCTGAATCGGCCACCAAAAGAAGGTTAGAAAATTGTACTTCCTATGGTTTTTTTTTCTTGCCTGTGATGGGTTTCGGGGTAGTGAATTTGTATCATTAACGGCTGACTGTTTGCTGATTCAGGAAAGTTGCTGAAGAAGATGATCATGACAGTGATGATGATACCAAAAGGAATCATGCGGTATGGAGATTATTCCTTTTTGATAATGTTGGGTTTAAACTTGATTAAAACTTCAGAAATAGGGATAGGTTGAGGCATAATTACTAAACGTAGCGGTACTTTGGATAATTACCAAATGCAGAGAGTGTTTTTGAAATTCACTCTGTATCAGTGATACAACATAAGATATGGAACAAATTGTTGTATCACTGATAAAGAGCAAATTATTGCATCACTGATACAAAGCGAATTTCAGAAACTATTGTATCACTGATACAGATCAAAATTCATAAACTGTTGCATCACTGATACAGGGCGTGTTTGATTTTTCTTTTTTGAACTCTCGCTGTGTTTGATAATAGTGTATTAGTTTGTCTGGTTAAGTAACTATTCCTTTAAATTTTGGGTTTTCCATAGATAGCCCATTTGTTTAAACATTGACTAAGCTACAAACTGTTTACATCAAATGTTGTATGTAATCCGATTTCTTCTATGTATTTGTGCTTCCTGTATAACAGTGCCTTTTTACATCAAATGTTGTATGTAATCCAATTTCTTCTATGTATTTGTGCTTCCTGTATAATAGTGCCTTTTTTGTTGAAATCACAGAATGAGACTGCAAACAACAGTGGTACTGGAAGGGGACGAGGTAGGGGTAGGGGTAGAGGCCGTGGTAGAGGTGCACGAGCAGTAGAGAAAGGTGACTCCAATGTTCACAAGGAGAAACTTGAAGACCCTGCTGCTGATATTTCACATCAAAAGGATGATGAGAACCAAAAGCAAAATGATGAAAGAATGGTAGACTATGTAGCAGAATCAGCAGTAGATTCAAAGAACATTTCAGCTGCTAAATGCTCCCCAGAAGTCGTCGCCCCTGCTAGAAACTTCGATCTCAACATTGACTTAAACGAGAGTGTGGAATCCACACCAATGCCATCTGAAGTCCCTTTATCATCATCAGCAACACCAGCACCAGCACCAGCACCAGCACCACCGCCTCCTGAAGTGAAGCATGAGGAAATCCCTGGATGGTCCCTGTCCGAGATGGAAAAGATGGCCATCGATCCAATTCAATTGGCCAACTTAAACCAAGGGTTAGACGAGGAAGAGGAAGATTACGACGAAGAAGGATAGGTATTGTTATTCTAATGTGTTTAGAGCAGTTACAACTCACATACAAGTAGACAGGCTTGTTCTTCTAGTCTTTTTTAGGAATTTTAGTTCAAATGTAAAAGGAAAAAGGGCATCATTGTGAATGAAGCTCAGGTTTTTATTTTAGTTGTGACTTAGGTATCTGTATTTATAGTCTTGTGTATTGTTCATCAACAAGCATCTTAGGAAAAACATGTACAATTTCTAACTTCTAATTCAGAAATATATATTCTAGGTTGGAGGTTACATGAACACCTTGTTTGGATGATTGTTACCTATTGTATTGCTAGTTTAAATACCATGTTTGATTGTTAATTAAATTATATTATATCGTATCGTTTAAAATCTATCATTACATAGACGAAAAGTAACGATTGATTTGGTGTTATTGCATTGTTACTTTATATTTTCTTCTCATTTTGTCTTTTACTTGTTATTTAATAATTTTATTTTGTCATTTATTGTACTTTTTATAGTATTTCTATCTCGTACTCTACTTTTCTTTTTGACTTATCATTCAAATTATTAATATATGATATTTTATTATGTAACAGAGAGAAGGATACAATCTATCCACACATTGTTTCATTAAAACAATACGTACTATGAAATAATAACTAACCACCCTCCAAATAAAGTGCCAGGGTACTGAGATGTGTCAGAATTTGCCAACTTAGTTACTAACATTCTTAGATATTTCTTTATTAACTTGGAGATCAATTTGAAAAAGTTTTTGTGCGTGTTGTCAAGCGTCTATTATGTAAATACGTGAATCATATAAACTATATTACTTTTTTTAATAATACATATCAATTTCAATTGGAACAACTGTGTCATTTTATGACTTATTCTAGGTAATGTGTATAAATAAATGAGGTAATTCCTATATTTTAAGTGGTTAACTTATTTAAGACCTCATTTGTTTCGTTAAAATTTAAATCTCTGCATTTGAATATTAAAATTTAATATTAAGATTTGAATACTAAATAGTTTTTTTTCCAACACCTGAATGTACAAACTTGTTTTTATTTAAAATCAATAAATCCAGATTAATTTATACTATATCAATAAAAAAAAATTGAACAATTATATGACAGTTGAAAGTGGCAGTTGTAGATAATGATAACGGTGATGGTTGTGGGTGATCAAATATGACCATGACTGACAATAGTGATTAATAATAATTGTCGATCATAGTAACTGGTGGTTATAATTAATAATTGTAGTGGACGATATGGATAGTAAATGATAGTAGTGAATGATAACGACAATTAATTATTGTTGAAATTTGCTTTAAGTTACTGCAGTAACTTTTAGCAAAATAAGTTATTTAGTTTGAAATAAATTTGAGTTTTGAATTTTAGTTAGTTTGTTTATGTTGTTGAGATATTTTAGGTTGTTTAAATTTCCAATTATGCAAATTATGTATTTCTTGTTGGCTATATAAAGCCCCTCAATGCTTAAGAAAATTATTGAAATCAATTGAAACCTATTTCAATCCATTGAGAGAAATTTTCAATGTTTTTGTGCTGCCCCATTTTTAAAAAACACCAACAATTATATATAGTAATGACTAGTTATGACAATTATCGATAGTGATTGATGATTGTAATAACGATAAGCGATAATGATTCATGATTGTGACTATGTGACTGTAGTAATTAACTATAGCTATAAAACTTAAATGTTGGATAAGTCTCTTGATAGGAGGTAGCAGTTACCCTATGATATCAATTGATGTACGCGCAAGCTGACCCCTCCACCATGTTTAGAAAAAGGAAGTTTTCCCCTGTCAGTTGTCTTTCGATTTTTGTTACTATCGATTGTTTCTTGTGCTTTGGTTATCACCCTTTTTCGTAACCAATGTTCTGTAATGCTTCATCTACTATATGTTATGTCTTCTTTACTTATGTATGTTCTTTGTTATACGTTACTTGAGCCAAGAGTCTTTCGGAAACAATGTATATATGTTCGCTGTGGCTAAGCTGCTAAGCAGACAAAGAAATGATCCTGTTTCTGTTATTGTTGTCTATCTATCTATCTATCTATCTATCTGTCTATTTGTCTATCTATCTGTCTGTCTGTCTGTAAAGGGCTTATATTTTCGCGAGCCATCAACATTTGTAGGTTTCCATTCACATCAAAATGTCTTATCCGGGGAACTTGCTCGTGGTCTTCTTATCCAGGTACTATACGCCACTCTCTTACGATTAATTCGTTCTAGTTTTGACGTTTAACATATGTTTCTTGTATTATAGATCCAGAAGTTGAAGATTGATATTGATGAGTGAGTTAGTGTTACTGATCCTGTCCTAAAGATGAAACAAATTGAAGTTCAAGTGCTTCTGGTTTCCTGATCTGATCTCTGTATCTTCTGCGTCAAAATTTGGACTCTGAGGCAAATGGTAATCTTTTTGCGCGTACGTTGATAGGTGATGTGACCGTCTCATCTAAAAGCTTAAATTGTTAGCATAAACATATCTTTATTTGCTTGATTTACTTCCTCAAGATGCTTTCGTACGTGTAGACGTGGTTCTTTTTTATTGGTCAATCACGTGAAGAATCTTTTTTAAAGGGGAGCCGTGGTGTAACTGGTATGATCTCTTGGTCACATGTTCGAGTTGTGGAAACAATCTCTTTGCATAAATGTAAGATAAGACTACATATAATAGACACTTGTGGTCCAATCCTTCCCAGAACCCCCGCATAACTGGAACATAGAGCACCGGATTTCAATGATTTACTGATCTTTCCCATCTTATGATTCATGGCATGACATGATACGAGAGCAGAAGGCAGAGGAAGGATTATTTGAATTCAAAAACGACGGGCTACTTTTGGAGGATTCGACACGCACACAATATTTGACTTTGGTGTGGTTTTGATTAATTCCAAAGATTAACATTTTCTCTCTTTTCCTTAATCAGTGTCTCGAGCTTGAACTATGAGAATAAAGTTGTTTTTCATAGAGAGTGCTTTACTCCCAAAGTGGAATTTGCATACTGGACTCTGAATCAGTCAGGCCCCATAGCGGGTACACTCCTAGAAACAAAGTTTTTTCACACCGCGATTCAGTAAGAAATTTGTGTTATAAAACATGATTTTCTCACTCATTTCAATAATATCATCTTATTAGAAAAATGTATGGTTGGAACTAGGAAACAAATTTTTACTAAAATAGTGAAAAATTTCCTAATTTTTCTCTATGAATACATCACTATTTTTCCCTTTCTCACCCAATTCAATCAAAATGTCTGTATATATAGGCACTAAATATTTTTTAGTAATAAAATAATAATTTTTTTAGTAACTGATACTGAACACCGAATAAGAAACAAATTTCATGCCGGACTCTAAGGTTGACATCTTTGAAACCTTGATCATTTGATCCATTCCAAAGTTTGTATGGGTGAATTTTCCTCGGGCTATGACATGTACATATATTATATTATAATATAAATATGTATATAATAAGAAGGGCAAATATTTTAAATTTAAACTATCGTTAACGAGTAATCCTAATATAGGCGGATTCGTAAGGAACCGAGTCCTACCTAAGATGAAGAAAAGTCCAAAAAAGACAAAATAAAAAAAATGATTCCATCAAAATCAACCTTCTTTCAATTGTTGACACTTGGACTTAAAATTAAGGAAAAAATGAACCGTTCTTTGTATACTAATTATCACAATTAGTCTTAATCACAAAACACTTAGTTTTCATTCAGGTTGGTTTAGATGAGTTTATTTAAATAGTTTTTTTTTTTTTAGGTTGAGATATACAATTTATGAGTGAATGACAAATTCAGAATTTAAATTTTATAAATTTAAATTTGAGTAATTATCCTAACTCGTTTGATTTTTATTTCTTTTGGTTATTTAATGAGTTAAAATTGCAATTGCTATTTTGTAAACTAGATCATCGAAGAAAGATATTCAATTGCAATTATCTTTAATAAAAATATTACTTTTTTTTTGTTTTCTATTTGGTTTCCGGGCCCGCATTAGAGCTCGACTATTCCGGATATACGACGCTCTAACCCTAGACTTCTGGTTAAGGAAAGAGCAGCTTCATCCACTCTTTTGATTGTAAAAATATTGCTTAATTACTCTATAATTGACATTCTACAATACTCAATTTTTTTTTAATGTTTATGGAAATATTACAAAAACTTCATATTGCTTAGATAAATTCCTCAATGTGTTTATTTTTGTCATTAAAAGGACATCTATAAAACTTATATATTTAAGAATTTGTTCTTAAATCATCCATTAAAAAAATAAAAAAATATTCCAACACAAGGAAGTGGACTGTTGGATAGCGTAATACAAAACTTGTTCACAAAATTAAATTTATTGTCCGTTGTTTCGTAAGATTTCGTTTTTCGTTCCATCGTTGATCTTTTTATTTCTATCGATATATATTATTTCGCTCTCGACTTATTGTCACGACTAATATTAACGAACTCATATGAAGATAAATATTTCACATGTAAGAGTATAATGCATCTTTTAGTTGTGCGTTTTTTCTATTGTGTGATCCAACAATTAATGTGTAATCTATCGCCCACGCTTCTTATTTGTTCAAGATGGACGGTGTGAATTATGATTCGATCCAAATATTTAATCTCGTCGCGGAGATGCTCAGTTGACTTAAAATGAAAACACAAGACAGATGAATTGTGAACATTTATTAAAACAAATAGTTGACTACACTAGCTTTTAGATTAAAAGCAAATTGCAGAAAATTAAAGGAGATAATATTCTTATATTGATTCTCCAAGTCTACACTCAATTCCCTGAGGTCACAAGAATTATGGTTGAGTACAAATTAGAGTTATACATATATTAATTATGTTGATTTTGATATATGAGTATATATTATATCACTGCAGAGGCATATCCAGGGGAGTCACCGGGTTCACGTGAACCCATGCTCCCCTCCCGAGATCATATATAGTAGTGTTATATTTTTGAAAAAATATTAAAATATAGATATGTGAATCCACATTCGGAAATCACATAATGCCGATAATGGCTGGGTGTACCTCTCTACGTGAGGTTAGAAATTTGAATTTTATATTTATCTTGTTTTATTTTTCTTTCTAAAATTAGATAACACTTCTCTAAGTGGTAATTAGTAGCACTTTTGGCATTATATATATATATATATATATATATATATAAGAATTAATTTTGGACGTATAATATTAAAATTTTAACGTTTTCAGTAGTAAAAATCTAAATGTCAAACC